AGGTCAGCATGCATCACAGTCTCCATGGCAGTAGGCTGTCTAATGGGGCAGGCACAGAACAGGGGGCGGGCCTGACACAGAATGGAGAGGGCAGGTGCAGAACGGGCCTGGCACAGAACGGAGGGGCAGGCACAGAACGGGGGGGCAGGCACAGAACGGGGGGGCCTGACACAGAATGGTGGCCTGGCACAGAATGGGGGTCTTGACCCAGAACAGCGGTCAGTTCCTGATCCTTCCCAGGATTGCTGCCTGGAATATTGAAGGGGCCCTGTGGACGTGACACACGGAGGGTTGGAAAGGGATTACCCTCTTTCAGACAAAGTGCCTTTTCCTGCAGTCAGTGATTTCTCTGATTTACCCTGAGAAGACAAGGGCCTGTAAGTGTAAATTACTCCTTTCAGCCCCCAGGAAAATGATTGTTTTTTTTTTTTTCCACCACAACAGAAAATGAACAGCTCCTTAGCTACCAGACATAGCAACTTGTTTTTTTTTTTTAAAAAAAGCTGTTTTTGTCTGTTGTGAGGACCAGACTGGAATGCTAACCAGCTGCTGGTCAATGCCGGCTCAGTGCGGTGCTCAGGGTTGGGGGCAGTGGGGTGCAGCGGGAGAGGCCCCGATTCCTGCAGGTCTTCTGCATGAGAGCCGTGAGATGGGCAGGCGGGTGTTCCTGCTGCCGAGACAGCCTCCCTCTTAACGATCTATTTTATTTCTGTTGCGAATCGACACAGCGGAACGCACACCAAGCCAACAGGGCCCCACGTTCACTCAGGGATGCTGCCAACGTCCTGTGAGGTGTGCCCCGTCCGCACCTTCCTTTTCGGGTTGTTCCTCCCACGGTGATGTAAACTCACTGCCCTGTAAGGTTCCTACCTCGTCTTCCATATAAATAGTTCTTACAGGAGCACAGTGCTCAGGGCAGCCGTCCTTCACTAGTTAAGCTAAACCACTGTTTGGTTTGGAGAAGACTTCAGGGGATAGTTTTGGTTTCAGATTTAAAGGTGATCTCAGGGCAGTGGTTTCGGGGGTCTGTGTGGCCTCAGCATTTTCTGTTTTGGAGACTGAGAATGACACTTGCTCACCTCACCGCTTCCCTGCGTGGCCCAGAGGCTGTGTGGGTGTGCGGCCATGTGGCCAGGCAAGCGTTTTGTGAGCTCATCCAGCCAACGGGCTACTTGCTGTGGTGGGTGGCCTCAGGACCCTCGTTCTGGCTGATGTGCCAGGATCTCTCCACGCAGGGCACGTGGCGCAAAGTTGGTTTACCGAAGCTGCGTCTTGAAAATGCGGTTCTGAAGGCTCCATGGAAGCTGAGGAATTCTAGTTAGGAAATGGTAGCATCTTCCCCAGAGCCTGATGCCACCCCTTTAACCTCTAGTGTCCACTGTGACGCCCCGCTTCTCAGCCGTATGATTCCTGGGCAGATCAGCTCCTTTGAACTGAGCACTGCCTCCAAGCTGTGGGGATTAATTAAGCCTTCTCCCTTGCTCGGAATGGAGAAGAATAACCACAGAACCTGCTTGAACTGGTCTCGGTCCTCATCCATGCCTGACACGTGCTAACTCATCCTGAATTCCTCCCAGCTCGCCTCTGGAGCATCTTAATGTGGAAGAGGGGCAGTGAGGGTGGGATGGCTGCTGTGTTAGTTTTCAGTTGTAACAAGCACACACTCAGCAGCTTGAAACAACACAAATGTGTGCCCTTGGTGTTTGGGGGGCAGGTGTGACCCGTTTCAGCTGGGTCCTCTGCTCTCACACGGCTGGATTAAGACGTCAGCAGGAGCTGTGACCTCATCCGGAGGCTCCAGCAGGGAAGGACTCACTTCCCGGCTCACACGCTGCTGGAATTCATCTCCCTGCAGCAGCTGGTTGACGGAGGCCCCTGTTTTCTTGCGAGCTGTCAGCCAGGGACCTCTGTCAGCATGTAGAGTCCCTCCACCATGTGGCAGTCTGCTCCTTCCAGGCCAGCAGGGGACTGCCTGCTACTGCAGCTCACCCCATGCAGGGGCCCTGATTAGGTCGGGCCCAGCCAGGATAATAGCCGTTTAACTCAAAGTCAACTGATTAGGCACTGTGTTAGACTGGGTTCTCTAGAGAAGCAAAACCAGTAAAGTTTATATATACATACAGAGAAAGAGAAGTTTATCTTAGGAAAATGGCTCCCACACTTATAGAAGCTGGCAAGTCCCAAGTTCTTGGATCAGATGTCAGGCTGGAGACTTTTCCCGACTCATGCAGCTGCAGGGGCTGAGGAGCTCAAGGTTGGCAGGCAGTATACGGGCTACTGACTCCAACGAATGACAAACCAAGACCTTCAGGCTGAAAGGTGGACTGTTCGCTCTTGGACAGTTGTAAGGGAGCATAAGAGGACCCTGATCCGTGGAAGAGTGTCCAGAGTGTCCATAAATACACTGGAAGCAGGCCACACCCCTGGGGAAACTCCCTTTCAATGGATTGGCTGCTGAAAACATATACATCCGATCTCATCATGGGAATAACCCACATCACAACTGCTTAAACCACTCACAATTGTGGTCTAGCCAAGTTGACACACGACTCCAGCTATCACAGGGACCTTCGTTATATCTGCAAAACCCCTTCACCTTCGTTATATAACATACAACCCTTTCACCTATGTTATAGAACATAATCACTACAGTCACACTTAAAGGGAGGGGTTACACAGGGCATGCACGTGGGGGTGTGTGTGGGGGGATGGTAGGAGTTTTGGAGGTCAACTCAGAATTCACCCACCACAGGTGATGACCTGCAGCTGACCTGGGAGAGGGCAGAGTGGGGAGGCCACCACCTTGTCTCAGAATCTTACTGGGAAGACGGGGAGTCATGCTGTGTGCAACTCACAGTTGACCCCCTTGTCACTGTCCTGAGGTGCCAGCCTCTGGGCCAGTGATGCCCTGATGACTTCGTCTCTGTACCGAGAACCGTGCAGTGTGACGGATGGTGGTGTGTGAGGCTATCTCTGGCATGCCTGCATGGATGTGGCATGCCAGAGACTGTGGCAGAGTGGCTGTGGGCCTTACTTTGCTGCTTCTGAGGAAGCTAGCTCAGACCATTTTCAGTTGTTTATTTAAAGCTGATTACAACTTCTGCTGCTTCATTTGGAGAAACCAGCTGCCAGAGGGAGCCCCCGAGAGCAGGTAGAATGTGCAAAGACCTCCACTAACCATGTGTCTGTTGTGTATGTGTTCTAGATTTCCAGTGGGTTCAGGGTGACGTTTGTGAAGTGCAGCTGATGGTGTACAACCCCATGCCATTTGAACTCCGAGTTGAAAACATGGTACGTATTGCCAGTCATCTGACCCTTTGGGGCTAAAACCCCGACTACGTTTTTTGCTATTGGAAGGCACACGTTCTCTACTACATGTCTATTTTTGTATTTATTTTGCCAAAAATGCTGGGCTGTCCGTGGTGAGGACCACGCGCCTGTGTTTTCAGAACCTCACACAGAGCTGGCTCGTGGCGGGAACTTGGTAGATGTTTGAGTCGGCCGACAGTGCCACCTCTGATTTGAACATCAAAAAACCAACTGAAACCAAACTTACTGCCACCGAGTTGACTCCGATTCATAGTGACCCCTCCTTGGGTTTCTGAGGCGGTATCTCTATGGAAGTAGATGCTCAGTCTTCCTTCTGAGGAGTGGCTGGTGGGTTTGAACTGCCAGCCTTCCAGTTAGCAGTCAAATGCCTTAGACACTGTACCACCAGAGCCCCCGATTTGAACATAGAACATAGACCTTAGTTAATTGGCTCTAAGACTTGAAGCAATCATTTTAAAGTTCACACAAGATCAGCACCGGTCTGCTTTCTGATGCTACCCAAGAATTTCAGCATTGTCGTATTGTGGCAAGATGATGAGGCCATGGCTGCCCGTGGGAGGAAGACTGCAGAATAAGAGAGTAGATGGGTAATCGGCTGCTATGGGGGGGTCTCTGGCTCCTGTGTCTGTGTGGGATGGTAGAGAACATCCGTCAGGACCACAGGCTTGGGAAGGAGAAGTGGAATGGTGCCACACCAATCCCAGTGTTTCCAGAGTGAGCCACCCAGCCACTGAGTGGCTTCCCTTCCTCACGTCCTGCTCTGCTACTTGTTAGCGATGTGAGAAGGGTGGGGTTAAAGGGTGTGCAGAGGCCGCGGCCGCCACTCATGCACACCAGACTTTGGCCGATTGCCCCGGTGTTTGTCAGCTGTTGTTAGGTGCTGTCCAGTCAGCTCCGGCTCATGGTGACTCTGTGTACAGCACAACTAAACACTGCCCGGTCCTGTGCCAGCCTCATGGTCATCGCTGTGTTTAAGCCCATCCTTGGAGCCATAGTGTCATTCCAGCTCACTGATGGTCTTCCTCTTTTTCACTGACCCTCTACTTTACCAAACGTGATTTTAGTAATGAACACATAATACTTTTGAACCAGATACAGATGAAGGTTGCCTTGTAAGGAAAAGAAAACCTGTAGGAAAGAGCAGCAGGCGAATGACACGCTACACTGGGGGATGTTCTCTAAACAACTGTTGGTCCCTGTTTAGGCCAAGAGCCAGGAAGGCACTGGACAGGCCTGCCCTGTGGTGCTGGTCAGGCAGGAGGATTGCCTCCAGCTGGTGGTCCACCTTGTTCCTTATCGAGCACAGTGCCTGGTGCACGTTGAGTTGAATGAATCGATAATCCGTCAATGGCTGGAGAGATGATGAATCCATGATGAGTTTTTTTACATTTTATTTCTTTTTTGTTTATAGGTGAGATATTTCATTTTTTTTTCCTTTGTGTTTGCATTTCCATTGGGTAAGACAACAAAACACACAGGGCCGATAAAGATGGGACTGTTGACTGTCACCTGAAAGACCCATGGCCTACTGTCCATTTTAGGACTGTCTTGTCTTAATCCCAATTTGGGGCTGTCTCTGGAATTCTCTGTGGAGCTGTGTAAGAACCCTTGGTCTCCTTGTGATGCTCACCGAACTTGCCTGTGAGACGGTGCGCTAGCTGATGTGGGCCTGTGTGCTGACTCATCCCACTGCCCTTCCCTTGCCGTAGGGCCTCCTGACCAGTGGAGTGGAGTTTGAGTCTCTGCCCGCAGCACTTTCTTTACCAGCTGAGTCTGGTCTTTACCCGGTGACGCTCGTCGGGGTCCCGCAGACGACAGGGACGATCACTGTGAACGGTAAGCATTGACTCCTATATGGCTTCAGTTCAGCCTCTAATGGTCTCTGTCCTCCCTGTCCTGGCCAGTGAGAGCTGATGAGAGGATTGCATTGCTGTGGTATGTGACACGGACCAGGCGTCCTAGTGCTCAGGGTGTGGCAGGTGTGGGTGGTGGGATGGGGTCGGGGTCTCATTGCACCTGGCCCTGTTGCCGCATTCTCCCTTCTGCTGTCTTCTTCCCATAAGTCTTTGCACACGCTCTAAGGTGCTTCCTGCTCCCATGGATGCCTCCTCTTACTGGGCCTGACCTTTCTTTGTCTCTCCTTGTCAGCAAAACCTTTCCACCATGTTGAATCCACTCTCCCACCTCTGTGTTGGTTCTTTAACCCACCTACACTGGGTCTAGCTCTCAGCACATCACCGAAACTGTCACCACCAGGGTCGCCGGCACCCTTTGTCTGGTTAAATCTGGCTTGGCTCCACCTCGACTGCTCAGTGACCTCCAGCCCCACAGCCTCCTCTGTGACTTGCTCTGGCCTCCATGACTACCCTCATGGCTAATGGCTCTCCTTTTCCATCTCCCCTGGGAAACCTTGTCTTCTGCAGACACTGCTCCTGTGGCCCTGACAGTGCTGTTCCTCCTGGCCCCATGACGGTTTCTCTCCTCTCCCCGCTTCCTTCCCTTTCTTCCCTCCCTCTTTCTGCCCCTTGCCTTCCCCCCTGCTCCCTCTCCTCACCTCTTCCCTGCTTCTGCCTTTCTCTTCCCTCCCTCAGCTTCTTTCTCAGGCTCCAGATCCTGTCTGCCCCACCCTCCTTCGGCTTCAGGTGTCCAGACTCCTTTCCTAAATGCATGGCCTGCATTTCCAGCTGCGTCCCCACCCACGTGACATACCCAAACCAGAGCCCCTCATCAATTCTCCCCAAAGCACTCTTCCTCTTTGGACCCTATCTCAGCAAAGGTGTGCTTCCAGGTGCCCAAACTGGGGACCTGGGAGTCACTCAAGCTCCTCCTGCCATCTGTGACTGTGCCACTGATACTTCCTGAGATCACCAGCCAGCTTCACCTCAACCACCCTGCTGGCTGTCACTGGGACCACCTTTCTGCCCCAGGCTTGTGCTCATAAGTCCATTTTCCATTTTTCTACAGCGCAAATCCCATCATGTCCCTTCCTCCCTTCCTGCACAGAAGCCCGGAGCCCTTGGCCCTGTTGCTGCCCCTGCTGAGCCTGCACGTCCTCCTCCGTCGTGCTCGGCCTCCCAGGACTCTGTGCTTCCTAGCCTTCGCCGTGCCCTTCCTTCTCTGCAGCTCTGGTGCCCCCCTCCACGCAGGCCTCAGTCCAGACGTCACCTCCTTGTGGAGCTGTGGCAGGAGCTCTGTGGTGCCCTGTGGTGCTCTGTGCTCGTGCATCATTCACACCATCACTGCAGTTGCCGTTGGCCAGCCTTGTTGGCTTTGTTCGGCCAGATTCTCAGTGCTGAGCACAGGTCGTGGCCCGCAGGAGGTCTTTGGCAGGTGTGCTCGTGGGCTGAATGAGCAAATGAGCAAACGTTCCTGTAGGCACGTGTAAAAGGCTGGGCTGTCCCAGGAGCTCTCTGTCGAGTGAGGCGATGGCATCAGAGAGAGGCTGCATGTGCCGATGCCCAGGTGGAGCACAGAGGAGAGGAGGCCACTCAAGAGGGAGATGGGGTCAGAAGGGCTTCTCAGAGGACGAGACCCTGAGGCCTTGAAGGACAGCTAGGAGCTATCCAAGTGAATGGGGGTGGGCAGTGGGGAGGAGTACGGAGCAGGCACAGGCAAATAGAACAACTTGTACAGGGGCTTGGTGGTGAGAGAGACCGTGGTGCGTTTGGGGGGACTGTGGCTGCTCAGGCTAGATGGTCTGAGACTGAGAAGGTTGGCCGGGGGTCCATCCAGGAGAGTCTCGTCCATCTAGCTCAGGTTGCTGACTCTGCCTGGAGGCAGTTATTAGAACAGGAGAGACTCCGTCAGTCTGGTGGTTCCCAAAGGTCCCCCTACCTCCACCCCCAGATTTTCTTGTGGAAGGGGTCAGGCGAGGGCAAGACTGGAGGTGGGAGGGGGCAAGGACAAAGCTTCAGCAGGTAGAAATGACAGACAGGAGCCACAGATGTGGCTGGGGATGGTGTTGGGGACAGAGGAGAGGAAAACTGGTGAGACTGAAGGGCTTAATTCTGGGGAGCATATGCCTGAACCTCACCCACACCTTTTCCACTGATGGTCTCAGGGCAAGGCGTGTGACCCTTCCTCTGGGGTGCCGTGTGCCTGGTATGGTCAGACACAACAACGTGTGGATGGACAGTGTCCATCACCAGGCTTTGGGTTTATTGGTAGCCAATTCCAGCAGTGGGTACGAGAAGGAAAATGATCCGCAGAGGAAAACCACATCCACGTGGGATTTTGTAGAAAGCAAACTATGAGGGATATTAGAGCCAGATATGGATTTCTAGGGGGGAAACATTAGCAAGTTAAGGTACTAACTACTGCTCAGCCAGTAGCAGAGTCTTACTGCATTGCTACAGTATGATGGAGCTGGAACACATTGTACAGAGGAGTCAGTCACAGAGGGCAAATACTGTATGGTGTCCCTTCTATAAAAAGACAAGAAAGGGCAAATATGCCAAGAGCAAGGTCTATTAGTGGTTACAAGGGTGGAAGGTAGGGGGAAAGAGAGGGTTAACGGTGATGGAAAATTGCATTGATTAAGCGTGAGGTCATTAAGGTTGATTAAGGGTGAGCCAGGAAAGGGAGGGAGCAGAGTGGCCAGGGACCACAGGAGTGGCAGGATCCAGGTAAGGGGTGGGAGGCAAGGCTAGACCCTAGCCCCATAGAGCCAGGAAAGGGAGGGAGCAGTCGGGGACCACAAAGTAGCAGGTTCCAGGTAGGAATTAGGTAGAATTAGGGGAGGGCACAGAGGTTTCCAACAACTAAAGGAGACAGACTTGTCTGTCAGTTTGTCCTCCTGTGGGGCTTGAGGCCGTGCCACCGGTGTTTCAGACGCCAGGAGAGTTGCACATGGTGCATAGGTTTAACGCAGCTTATAGACTAAGGAAGAAGGAAGAGGCCATCCACTTCTCAATAATTGGTAGGCAAAACCTTATGAATAGCAGAGAAACACTGTCTGATACGTTACCGGGCAACTTTATGAATAGCTTGGAAACATTGTCCAACACAGTGCAGGAAGACAAGCCCCTTGGGTTGAAAGGCACTCAAAATAGGACTAGAAAAGAGCTGTCTCTTTCCCAAGAGAACCAACCTTAATGATATGGATAAAGTAAATCTTTCAGGACCTCCATGTGCTGACGTGATATGACTCAAATTGAGGAGAAACAGCTGCAAACATCCATTAATAATAGGAACATGGAATGCATGAAGTATGAATCTAGGAAAATTGGAAGTTATCAAACATGAAATGGAACACATAAAGATTGATATCCTCGGCATTAATGAGCTGAAATGGATGGGTTTTGGGCATTTTGAATCAGACAACCATATGATCTACTATGCCGGGAATGAGAAATGGAAGAGAAATGGTGTGGCATTCATCATCACAAAGGATGCTTCAAGATCCATCCTGAAGTACAGTGCTGCCGGTGATAGGATAATATCCATATGTCTGCAAGGAAGACCCGTTAATACTACTATTATTCAAATTTATGCACCAACCACCAAAGCCAAAGATGAAGAAATTGAAGATTTTTATCAACTTTTGAAGTCTGAAATTGACCTAACATGCAATCAGGATGTGTTAATTACCATAGGTGATTAGAATGCAAACGTTGGAAACAGAGAATCACCGGTAGTTGGAAAATTTGGCCTTGGTGACAGAAATAACACTGGAGATCTTAGGATAGAATTTTGCAAAACCAACGACTTATTCATTGCAAATACCTTTTTTCAACAACACAAATGGTGGCTATATATGTGGACTTCACCAGATGGAGTACACAGGAATCAGATGGACTACATCTGTGGCAAGAGGTGATGGAAAAGCTCAGTTATCTTTAGCCAAAACCAGGCCAGGTGGTGATTGTGGGAGAGACCATCAACTGCTCATATACAAGTTCAACTTGAAGTTGAAGACAATTAAAACAAGTCCACGAGAGCCAAAATATGACCTTGAATATATCCCTCCTGAATTTAGAGACCATCTAAAGAATAAATTTGATGCATTGAACACCAGTGACTGAAAACCAGAAGAATTGTGGGATGACAGACATCAGGAGCATCATCCATGAAGAAAGCAAGAGGTCATTAAAAAATACGAGAAAGAAAGAAAAGACCAAAATGGATGTCAGAAGAGACTCTGAAACTTGCCCTTGAGCAAAGAGTAGCTAACGCAAATGGAAGAAATGACATGATAAAAGAGCTGAACAGAAGATTTCAAAGAGCAGCTCAGGCAGCCAAAGCCAATTACTGTAATGAAATGTGCAAAGACCTGGAGTTAGAAAACCAAAAGGGAAGAACGTGCTCGGCATTTGCCAAGCTGAAGGAACTGAGGAAAAAATTTAAGCCTTGAGTTGCAATATTGAAAGATTCTATGGGCAAAATATTGAATGATGCAGGAAGCATCAAAAGAAGATGCAAGAAATACATAGAGTCACTATACCAAAAAGAAATGGTTGATCTTCATCCATTTCAGAAGGTGGCATATGTTCAAGACCAGTGGTATTGAAAGAAGTAGTTGAAGCTGCACTGAAGGAATTGGTGAAGAACAAGGCTCCAGGAATTGACAGAATACCCACTGAGATGTTTCAACAAATGGATGCCCTGCTGGAGGCACTCATTCAGTTATGCCAAGAGATTTGGAAGACAGCTACCTGGCCAACTGACTGGAAGAGATCCATATTTGTACCCATTCCAAAGAGAGGTGATCCCGCAGAATGTGGAAATTATCGAACAATATCATTAATATCGCATGCAAGTAAAAATCTTACTGAAGATAATTCAAAAATGGTTGCAGCATTATATTGACAGAGAACTTCCAGAAATGCAAGCTGGATTCAGAAGAGGACGTAGAATGAGGGGTATCATTGCTGATGTCAGATGGATCTTGGCTCAAAGCAAAGAATTCCAGAAAGGTGTTTACTTGTGTTCTTTTAACTATGCAAAAGCATTTGATTGTGTGGATCATAACAAATTGTGGATAACATTGAGAAGACTGGGAATTCCAGAGCACTTAATTGTACTCATGAGGAACCTGTACATAGACCAGGAGGCTGTCGTTTGAACAGAAAAAGGGAACACTGCATGGTTTAAAATCAAGAAGGGAATGCATCAGGGTTGTATCTTTTCACCATACTTATTCAATCTGTATGCTGAGCAAATCTGAGAAGGTGGGCTATATGAAGAAGAACATGACATCAGGATTGGAACAAGAATCATAACTTTGTGACACAACTTTACTTGCTGAAAGTGAGGATGACTTGAAGTACTTACTGATGAAGATTGAAGAATACAGTCTGCAGTATGGATTACATCTCAATATAAAGAAAACAAAAATCCTCACACCTGGACCTATAAGCAGCATTACAATAAATGGAGAAAAGATTGAAATTGTCAAAGACTTCACATTGCTTGGTTCTACAATCGACACCAATGGAAGCAGCAGTCAGGACATCAGATGACGTATAGCATTGGGCAAATCAGCTACAAAGGACCTCTTTCAAGTGCTGAAGAGCAAAGATGTCTCCTTGAGGACTAAGGTGTGCCTGACACAAGCCATGGTATTTTCAATCTCCTCATATGCATGTGAGAGCTGGACAATGAATAAGGAAGACCGAGGAAGAGTTGATGCTTTTGAGCTGTGGTGTTGGTGAAGAATGCTGAAAGTACCATGGACTGCTAAAAGAACTAACAGGTCTGTCTTGGAGGAAGTGCAGCCAGAATGCTCCTTGGAGGCTAGAATGGCCAGAGTTCATCTCACACACTTTGGTCATGTTGTCAGAAGGGACCGTTTCCTGGAGAGGATGTCATGCTTGGTAAGGTGGAGGGTTGACAAAAGAGGGGAAGACCCTCAATGAGATGGATTGACACAGTGGCTGCAGCGATGGGCTCAAGTATAGCAGGGATCATGGAGCTGGCTCAGGACTGGGTGGTGTTTCGTTCTGCTGTGCATGGGGTCGCTATGAGTCAGAGACGACTTGATGGCACCTAACACAACAACAACAAGGGTGAGGTCACACGGCCGATCACTGTAATTGCTGTCCATAACTTGTGTACCTGTAAAAAGTTGAACTGGCAAAAGTTGTGTGATAGAGATGTTTACAACAACAACACAACAACAACAACAAAAGAGTTGCTGCTGAGGCTGCTTATGTGCAGCCTAACACCTCATGGGCTTTTATTCCTTGGTTTGGAGGGTTAGGGTCATTTCTTCATGGGACAGCCCAGTTCATTGATCTGATGATGTATCTAGTGCCTCTGTCCTCCCTCCTTGTTCATTGCATAGTCCCTGAGGCCTTAACAGCTTGCAGGTGGCCATCCAAGGCTTGGCAGTTGGTCACTATTTGGCTGGGGCAACAGAGGAAGAAGGAGAGTGAGGAATAGGAGGAGGTGGAACGTGTGGCCAACTGCCTCCCTGAGCTACCAGTACTGGGCATTTTGATCAAGGATTCTTTAGTAGAATTCCCAACAAAGGGGGAGTGCAGAACAGAATTTCAAGTTCTCCCGGACTCTAGACTTTCGGAGCCGTGGAGGGTAGCTGAACCCCTGAAACTGTGGCCCTGAGAGAATCTTTAAATCTTAAACCACACTATCCCCTGGAGTCTTCTTAAAACCAAGTAATATGTCTGTTTTGAACATTATGCTGTTTTAAGAGCTATCTGTATGGGAACAAAGTGACAATAGCAACTGGAAGGATCAGACAGGAAGCTTAGTGGGCGATGGGTTTATGTTAATGGGGAAAACAACTCAGAAAAGGAGGCTGAGCACAGTGCCACCACCCAAAGACTGCAGTCCCTGTCCCTGAGTTGTACGTGTGGACACTGTGAGTTGGAGCACGGTTTGCTGTGTTTATTCTCGACAACAGCAACAAAGAAACAGATGAAAGACAGTCTTTTCAGAAACATACTTCAGAACGAAGGTGGCGGGCGCTGTGGAGTTGCTCTCAGGCGGGGGGCTGGAGTCAGACTGGCAGGAGGTAAGGGGACGGCTGAGGGCCTCACCTCCCAGAGTGAGTTCTCTGGTTCACATGGAGCAGTTGGGTGCAGATGCAGAGTCCCTGTCCTAGGCACTTTGCCATGGGGATTGTTTAATTTTGCTACACAGTGAACTGTATTTATAATAGTTTTCTCTCGAAATTTCATCAGCCATTTTAAAGCTTTGCTTAAACAATTTCAAGTGCTTATCCAACCAGCGGCCCTTTTCTTGTTTTTCTTTTGCCCAAATGCTTGGACGGTTTGATAATCTTAAACTGCAATATGTGTCCGTGCGTGGCAGATAAGCCGTATCATGTTGCAGTTACGAGGATAGTCGGCCATTGAACTTTCATTTCTCAACAGAAGACTTGGAGGCGTTTTTCAAACAGTAAATCACATGGTATCTTGGAAAGCAGTGCTAACTCTCCTCCTTACTTTAGAGATGGATACACTTGAAAAGCAAATTGGAAGAGGGATGTGATGCTAGTTACTAAGTTGGTTGGGACGTGTTGTTTACAAAGCCTTCTGCAGACACGGTTTCTCTGCAGCTGGGCAGGCTGGTGAAGTGGGAAGGCAGGTATTAACATCTCATTTGACACCAGGTGAAATGGATCCTCAGAGTTGAGTGTCGGAGCTCTGGGTGAGAACTGGTGAGGGAGCTGGGATCTGAACACCCCCATGCTCTTCTCACACTTGGCTGCCTGCAGGTGGCCTGAGACACCCAGCTTCCCCAGTGGCAGGTTTCTGCTTTGCCTTCCAGGTTACCACACCACGGTCTTTGGCGTCTTTAGCGACTGCTTGCTGGACAACCTCCCGGGAGTCAAGTCCAGTGGGGCCACGGTCGAGGTCATTCCTGCCCTGCCCCGCCTCCAGATCAGCACGTCTCTGCCCAGGTCTGTGCTCGAAGGACCCACGTATCAGATTTTACGAGACCAGGCTCTTAAAATATATTTCAGTTATTATCATTATTTTTTTAAATGGCACAGGGAGTCCGAATTACCCTGTAATTCTTGTGACCAGAATACGGGTGAAGGATTTTTTCTACAGGATCAGCCGTCCAATGTGCTTTGCTTCAAGTTAGTTGGAATAAAGTTGAAGGCTTTCTTACTAAGAGTGGAACAAAGTGTGAAATTTGCCTTTGAAATCATATTTGTGAAAACGGTTCAGGTTTTAAGAAGCGTAAGAAAAACCCGATCTTGTAAACATAGTTTGTTTTTTTTTTTTCTTTCTTTTTTTCGCATTGCTGTTGTTGGGTGCTGTTGATTTGACTCTGACTCCTGGAGGCCCCATGGGGCAGAGCTGCTCCGGAGGCTGTCGGGGCTGGAGGGCTGCTATGAGATGGAGCTAGTCCGCAGCAGCAGGTTTAACCTTTAGGGAGCTGACCCCCACGCCCCTCCTGCTGTGCTGCGGGGTGGGTTTGAACCTCCAACCTTGTGATTGGCAGCTGATTGCTTCCCTGTGTGCACCCCTAGGAGGGCTCCTTTGTAACTATTTTTCCTTGGTTAGCATTTGAAGAAGGGGTGAAGAAGAGGGGGCAATCCCAGGAGTCCCCAGCTATTCCTCTTAGTTGGTATTGCTTTCCTTCCAGTCTTTGATCCGTCTGTTTTTTTACCTCTTTGAATGGTTATATACAGTTACATGAAGCCATTCTGTGCTATCTAAAGTATCCCAGCTTGCTTTTTGCATAACAATATAGCAATACGTTATTCTGCAGGTTTTTACAAATTCTTAAAAAATTCCTTGGGTTCAAAAAAGCGCCCTAAAGCCTTCCCAGCCTCTGCCAGTGGACACGCCTGCTGTTGGAGTCTAGGACGGCCCCAGTGTTTGCTCTGATGAATGGGTCTTTATTGGACGTCCTTGTGGCGTTTTCTGTAAAATGTGTCTGTCTTGGGACTTTCTGTAATGTTTTTCAAGCCCCTTCAGATGTGTAATGAACACTTCCTCCTGCCAGTTGCTGGAGCCCACAGTGGACAAGCCAGCCATGGTCCCACCCTCCCAGCAATTCACTGTTCCATGGAAGAGGTGCGCAGGCAGCATTCATTGCTGTGCACTGTTGCTTGGACTCTGGTGGGGTTCTGTGCAGCTCGCTGTGGGAGGTCCGTGTGCTGTGGGGACGCAGGGACTCAGAGTAGACTTCCTCCAGGAAGTGTGTGAGGGGTGTGGGGAGGGGAGGGCTTGGCTATGTCAGGTGGGTGGGTGGGAGGGCTTCCTAAGAAAGAGAGCCATGTGCAAGAAAGACCAGAGGCCAGAGAAAGCATCATGGGATTGGGAGCAGAAGGAATCTCTGCAGAAATTGACTCAGAGGGGACCACAGGTGCTTTTATAATAAGACTGAACCAAGCCCACTGCCACTGAGCCAATTCTGGCTTGCAGCACCCCTAGAGGACAGAGTGGAACTCTCCCATAGGGTTTCCAGGGCTATAAATCTTTAAGGAAGCAGACTGCCTCATCTTTCTCCCACATAGTGGCTGGTGGTTTCGAACTGCCAACCTTTTGGTTAAGCAAAGAGGTCTTTGATAATGTGCTAAAAGCAGGATCCCTAAAGGAAGACACTGATAAACTGGACTTTATTAAAATGAAAGACATTTGCACATCCAAAGATACCATTAAGAAAATGGAAAAACAAACCCCAGATGGAGAGAAAACATGTACAAAGCACGTGTCCATGAAGTACTTGTATCCCCAGTCTGTACAGAACTCTTAAAACTATGCAACGAGAAGATAAACAACCCAATTGAGAAGGGGCGTTCTGAAATGCTGACGCCCTTTGGTTTGAGGTGGGGGGCTCTGAAACACCGCCGTCTCTCCTCTCCTCGTCTCTTTCTCCTCAGTTGATCATGCTTCCTGTTGTTTCAGGTCTGCCCATTCTCTGCAGCCTTCGGCTGGCGAGGACGTGTCTGCTAACGTGTCTGTCCAGCTGTACAATGGGGAGACTCAGCGTCTCGTCATTCAGTTGGAGAATATAGGGGTGGAGCCTCTGGAGAAGTTGGAAGTCACCTCAAAGATCCTCACGGCCAAAGGTGGGCAGTGGGGGACGTTGGCCCCAGACCTGCGTATCTTCTTTTTGAGGACAAGATGTTTCATGCTATTCACTTACTTAAATTTTGTTTATTTTGTTGCATTGAGACCACAAGCAGCAAAACACACCCACTCAACAGTCTCTCTGTGTACAGTTCAGTGATGTTGATGACTTTCTTTGAGGCATGCGGCCGTCCCCACCCCCCTTTCCCAAGTCGTTCCTCCACGTTCACATGACTCGCTGCCCCCCAAGCTTCTGGTGCAGCCTTTCTGTTGCTGTGTCAGTTTGGTGTCATCTGAATTGTTCTTCCAAAGAGTACTGTGCTCGGGGCGGGGTTGCTTCCTCTGTGTGTGTATGGGCCAGTGAGTTCTGTTCTGTAATTTATTATTATTATTTGTTATTGTTGAGAACACAACTTAGGGACATTTACACCCCTTCACAAGTTTCTTCATGTACAATTCGGTGACACTGATGAATTCTTTGAGCTGTGTGACCTTTCTCACCCTTATTTTCTCACTTGTTCTTCCCTCATTAACATGAACTCACCGCCCCCTAAAATTCCTGTCAACCATGTGAGTTACTTACTATTGTCCATTTGATCCCCAGAAGAGATGCTTTGAACGATCACGTTCAGAAAATGAAAACGTTCGGTCTGATTTTGCTGCTGCAGGAAATAGGCCTGCCAGCTTTGCAAGATGAGAACATGAGACCAGAGACTCTGCCTGTTCATTCTTGGGTTTGTCACCATGTCTGGGGACTTAACAGATCTGCAGGAAAAACATTCTTACTTACAATTGATAATTTACTGAGTTTTGGTGAAAGTTTACACAGCAAGTCAGGGTCTTGTTTGACAACTTGCGTACACATTGTTAGTGACATGAGTTACGTTTAATTGTGTGCCTGATTCTCTGTAACCGTGTTCTGTTTGGTCCCTTAGCAGTGCTCTAGCTTCCCTGCCCCTGTTCTTCTCATCTTTGTTTTTAAGAAATTATTGACCTTTGGTCTCATACTGATGGTTTCTCAGAGGCGCATGGATCTTAGGCGCAGTACCCTTTAGTTTGTGGGCACTCTTCTAGTTCCCTGAATGGTGACCACAGGACATAGGCGTGGGTCTAGGTTTGAAGAGTGTCTCAGGGTGATAGTCTCAGAAAGAAGATTCTTGAATGAATGATTGACTGAGAGAAGCATTAATCAGCAGAGAAGCATTACTGCCCGGGACCCTCCCTCCACCTCCTGCCTGATTCTTTCTGTGGGCTCCACGCCGAGGAAGTGCCCCC